ATACCCTCAGCTATTGTCCGTTTATTTAAATATACTTTGGCATCCGTATTTATTATTCATCACGTTGAGCATTTATGGGGGAGGTTTCGAAGTAACCTCCTCTCTTATATATGTCTGATATAAATATTACTACGTGCCATATTCGGGCTATATCACTTAATATGAAAAATCTGATAACTTTTAGAAAATGTTGAAATGTGCGTCCAGATGTAATGGATCGAAGTATTCCACTTCATATAATACTGATAAAAATATTAATATATGCAAAATGTTGAATAATTGTAAAACAAAATTGTAACTTTTTTTGGGGGAGGAGTTATCGGAGGGAGTGGTCAGAAAAGTTCATTCACACCAGATCTATTGTTGAGAGAAATATTAAGATATACCAGGTTTAAATGGAATCGTTGAATTGTTTCGTAAGTGATGAGAGATTTAAGTATTTAAAATTTGTAATTGTTTATGGGGGAGGTATCGATATCCATCATTTTCAAACCCTATATTGTGTTACTAGAAATATTGGGATATGTGGAATTTTTAAGAGATTTATGAGAGATATAATTATTCAAAATTTTGGCCCTTTTGTGGGAGAGGTACCAGAAAGATTGCAGCGATATATTCCATTTTCACACCAGACCTTGGGTTAATAAAAAATATTGTGATGTGTGTAATTTGAAGACAATCGGACTCTTACATCACATTTTAGAAGAGTTATAATTATTCCATATTTTGACCTTTGCCCTGACCTGACCTAGCACTGATGCAAATATTCGCAAAGTTGGAGCAAAATTGGAACACCCTCTCTCTTTCTGTGCATTTTTTTTTTTTTTGAAAATTTTGAACTTTTGTGGAGAGATACCAGAAGGAGTGGACCGATATTGCCAATCTCCGAACTCGATCTTAGTTTGATAATAATATTACGATATTATAGTGTGCACCAACTGACGGACGGACATGGCAAGATCGACTTCAAATGTCCTGAAACGGATTTTTGCCAAACAAACCTAGGGTCTAAAACCTTTATTTCGATGAGGCACGTTATGCTTGTATCATATGATATATACGTTCTGTAGCCATATGGCTGAGGGTATAATAAATCTAAAAAAATACCAACGAATTTAAAGAAAATTCTTGAACATCTTGAACAAAAAATACTGGAATTTTCAAGAAAAACTTTTAAATCCATCAAAAAAATTCGAGGACAATCTGATATGAAATCGTAAATTTTTCAAAGAAATCCTCACCAAAAAATGTATTTTTCAAGAAAATAATTCAAGGACAAGCGGTCAAGAAATCGTTGATTTCTGAAAACAAAAATCCAAGGACTAGCTAACATAAATATGAAGTGTTTTGAAGGTAATATATTCAATGACATAGTGGATTTTTTTTTTTGTGAAGATATGATCAAATGATCGTATATTTGTTAAGAAAACTTTTTTGTGAATTTCTCAAGAAAAAATTTTCACGGACATTCAAACCAAATATTCGTGGATTTTTCGTAAACAAATTTTAAGGACATTTTGACGAAAACTCGTAGTCTTTTGCAAAAAAGTCTTTTCAAGAATATCCTAAATCGTGGATTTTTTTAAGAACAATCTGTCCAAGGAAATCCTGACAAAAATTGTATTTTTAATAAAAAGTCAAGTAAAAGAAGAACAAACAAAATTACAAAGAGATCTCATGTCATGTCAGTCAATCCCCTGCATTTTGGAGAAAACAGTTGGATATCATCTCACGGTAGCTCTAAGCATTCACAGTTATATTACACTTAGCAGCATTTTTGAAGAAGTACGAACCAAACTTTTTTGTGACTTTTTCTGAATGCATTGGTAGCTTTTGGTATGCTTCTGGCTGATCTTCACTTCAAAATCTAAATTTTTTCTTTTTGAGTAAAAATGACCTGGAAGAGGCGCATGATGAACTTTCTTAAAAGAGCACGCACTTTTACAGTGAAACAAAACGCGCAGCGTGCATGAGTTGTTTTAACCAGAACTCAGTGCTGATGAATTTCATTACTTGGTAATGGAGTTTGTAACTTATTTTGCTTTGACATTAAAACTCCATTGTTTTCATCATCTGGTAATATGTGATTACGAATTAATCCCGTCATTTGAAGAGTAATTTATAATGGCAAATCTGGTTGGATTTATCAAAGGCAAAAAATATTGAGATTTTTTGCATGAGCTGTTTTAATCAGAACTCAGTGCTAATGAATTTCATTACTTGGTAATGGGGTTTGTAACTTATTTTGCTTTGAAATTAAAACCCCATTGTTTTCATCATCTGGTAATATGTGATTACGAATTAATCCCGTCATTTGAAGAGTAATTTATGATGGCAAATCTGGTTGGATTTATCAAAGGCAAAAAATATTGAGATTTTTTTTTCCGGTAAAAAAAGTACACAGTGGTTTTTCCATAAAAAGCTATTACATTGTCGTTTTATATGCTCCCTGGGAGCTAAACAAAATCCATTCCTTGGATAAATGTCCATCTCCGTTCGACAACATAAAAGTTGTTATTTAACACCAAAATTCCACAAAATAAAAAAAAAAGAATTACGACATAAAAATGTAAATTTCCCATCAAAACGTTTAAGGCCAAATGTGCAAATGGCCCATTCAATGGGCATAAAACCGAGTACAGGATGTTTATATTTAGTGTTCCTTCCCTACGGCAATAGTTTTTTTATTCTCTGATTTACACACACGCACGCACTCGCAATTTAAATGGAGTTTAATTTTAATTGTAATATTTGTTGTTGCTCTTTTTTAGCTTGGCATTAAAAATAAACTTAAATGCTTCGTCAAAATTATGATTATTATTACCGATTCGTGTTAGTTTATTATGACACGTACACGGTGAGGGATGGGGTATATTAGTGGGGGTCGGTTCAAAAAGTTGTATAAAATATGCTAAATATGAAGGACATTTTTCTATAATTTATCTAAAACGAGGAGCATTTCAGTGACCTTCCATAGGTAATTCTAATTGGTTTTTGTAGATCTAGTGGATGGACAGAAGATGAAGACCGTTTTTAGAGGCATTTTATGGACGAAAACTACCAACGTAGACGTTAACCAGGGGCCGGGTCCCTTCCGACATAGTAATTCTGTATAGTGGCCTCCTATTAAAATACGTAGCATTTAACCAAATAGTAAACGTTTTGGTCAATAGATTGTGTCAAATCAACTAAAAATAGACATTCGATTTTTACCTCAGATCCACTTCTAACAAAAGGATTAAAAAATCAAACATGTAAAGCGAAGCACACTTTTCGGCACCAAATAAATAAAAGCCTATCCAAAAACATTATTTCAAAGTCGAAAATCGATTGTCTAAAGTCGATATTCGAAGTCGCAAATCAATCATTTGAAGTCGATTTCGCGTTTTTTCAGTAAGAAATTCGTTTTGGTTTTCTTAATCTCGAAGTCAATTAAATAAAAGTTGAATTATGCACCCGTATAAACCACCTTTAAGGACTTTTATGCATGTAGTAAACCTTCAAGCCCTTCCTTGAAATAGACGTTTTTAGGGCCTTTAAAGGATAAAGACGATCTTGAATGAAGATGGAAGACCTTTAAGGCCACCTATAGAAATAGAAGAATTGTAAGTTCTTCTATGGCGATTGAAGGCCGGTAAGATCTCACATGGACTTACAAGGCCTTTAAAGTCTACGATGGAAATGGAAGACAGAGAATTTCCATGTCTTGTATTGAAAAAGAAGACTTCTCAGATCTTCATTGGAGATAGAAAACCTCTCAGATCTTCTACGAGAAAAGAAGACTTCTCAGGTCTTGTATGGACATGGAAGACCTTTCAAGTTTTCTATGGAGACAGGGGACTTTTCAAGTCTTTTATGGAGACAGAAGACTTTTCAAGACTCCTATAAAGTCAAAGGATATCTCAGGTCTTCTATAGATACAGAAGATCTCTTAGGTCTTCCATGTAAACATAACACCTCCCAGGTCTTCTCTGGAGTTAGAAGCTCTTTCAGTTCTTCTATGGAGACAGACGACATTTCAAATCTTCTGCGAAGACAGAAGACCTCTCAGGTCTCATATAAAAATAGTAGACCTCTCAGGCCTCCTATGAAGATAGGAGACTTCTCAGATCTCCTATGGAGACAGGAGACCTCTCATATCTTCTATAGGGACAGAAAACCTCTCCGGTCTCCTATGAAGACCGGAGACCTCTCAGATCTTCTATGGAGACAAAAGGCCTTTCAGGTATCCTATGACAGAAGACAGAAGGCCTCTCCGGTCTCCTATGGAGACAGAAAACCTTTCAGATCTTCTTTGGAGATAGAAGACCCCGTAGGACATCTATAGAGACAGACGACCTCTCAGGTCGTCTATACAGAAAATAGACCTTTCATATCTTTTATGGAGTCAGAAAACCTCTCAGATCTTCTACGGAGACAGAAGCCATCTCAGGTCTCCTATGAAGAAAGGATACCTCTCACATGTATTTTGGAAGTATAATACTTCTCAGGTGTCCTCTGGAGAAAGGAGACCTCTCATACCTTCTATGGAGACAAAAGACCTCTAAGGTCTCCTTTGAAGACATAAAACCTCTCAGATCTTCTGTAGAGATAGAACACCTCTCAGGTCTATAGAGACAGAAGTGCTCTCAAGTCTGCTATAGAGACAGAATACCTCTCAGGTCGTTAATGGAGCCGGAAGACCATTTAAGTATTCTATGGAAACAGGGGATGAAAGATCTATCAGTTCCTCTATGGAAGCAGAAGACTTATCATGTCTTCTATAGAGATAAACACCTTTAAAGCCCTCCCGGATAATATGGTGTATTCTATAGAGCTTAGACCTGTGTAAAACTGTCTTCTATGAAATAATGGACTTCCAAAATCTTTAGGTCTTCCATGAAAGCAACAAAAGAGCCATGCGGTCTCCAAATTTCTATGCAAGCTACTTTTTCAAAAATATGCCATGTGCAAAATCTATAAAAAGGAACAAAAACAAAAATTAAATATTTTTCACTTACCGGATCTGTTTCGTATTCTCCCAAGAGTTTTACATTTGTTGTATCTGTATCGTTGGAATCTTCCACGCTGCCGGTACCAGCACCAGCTCCACCACCACCAGACGCATTTATATCCTCTTTTGATTTATTGTATACAAATCGTTCATTTACACCGACGGCTGCATGGGCCACCAGAGGACCCAGGAACAGCAAACAGCCGAAGGCGAATAGCAACGGTAGCTGGTGGTGGCGTTGTTTCATTGCTCTGTTGTATGGTGGTGTTGCAGAGCCTGATCGTGATGGAGAATACCAATGTTTATGGTTTATTTGAGACATAATAATATAGTGTTGTTATTTGTTTTGTTGCTGCTGCTATTGTTGTTGTTGTTGTTCTCCTGGATGATGTTGCTGGTGTTTTAATAATTATCACAGTTGTTTGTTTTTATGGTTGCTGTTGGCTGTTGTTGTGCTTTTTTTCGTTTGTTTTTTTATTTTCTTTTGTTTTGAGATTCTTCTCGTATTTGCTTATGGATGCATGTAACAACAAATAACAAAAGATCTGAAAATAAGCAAAAAAATAAAAAAAACAACAAATAATTATAATGTGTGCGTACATACTGATGTATGGAGGGGGGATAAGAAGGTAAATTGCGTAGGGGGGGAGGGAACACTGATTATTGAAGTCTTGAAAGATTGCACTGGGAAGTAACCTAAGTAGGGCTGCAATGTCAAAGATATAAAACTATAAAGTCTGAACAGAAGGCGTAGCGCATATTTGTTTCGATCGGGCAATGACAGAAATTGACTGGAAGAATTAAAAAAATCTGAAATCGAACGCAAGTAAAAAGGCACCTAAGTTTGTCCGGGCCGAACTTTTAATACCCTCAACCATTTGGAAAAAAAAACTTGATATTTTTTTAAAAAATGGAAATGTGCTATTCTGAAATCGAACGCAAGTAAAAAAACACCTAAGTTTGTCCGGGCCGAATTTTTAATACCCTCAACCATTTGGAAAAAAAACATGACAATTTTTTAAAAAAAAAATGGAAATTTATTTGCTAAATGTAAACCGTTTTATGGGCACTATACGAAGACGAGGACCGGCACAAGCAAGTTTCTGTCATAGGTTATAGTGTATATTACGAATTTCAAATACCAACTTCGAAACAATGCCGCAATGTCGCAAAAATCATGAAAATACCGAATATTGGGAGGTACCGCTATATGGGACCAATATGGATAGTCTATAGTACCCATTACGAGTATTAAATACCAACTTTGAAACAATTACGGTTTATAATGTCTTTAAAATCCAAAAAATATCGAATATTGGCAGGTACGATTATGTGGGACCTCTATGAAGACGTAGACCTGCATATGTAATTTTTTGTCATAGGCTGTAGTACCCATTACGAGCTTTAAATGCCAACTTTGAAACAATTCTGGTCTATAATTGAAGCAATTCTGGCAAATAATGTCGCTAAAATCATGAAAATTCCGAATATTGGAAGGTACCGAAGACGTGGGCCTGCTTTTTTGTCATAGGCTGTAGTACCCATTACGAGTCCTAAATACTATCTTTGAAACAATTCCGGTTTATAGTGTCTTTAAAATCTTAAAAATATCGAATATGTAGAGGTGCCGTTATATAGGGGCTATACGACGACGTGGGTCAGCATAACAAATTTTTACAGCCTCAGCCAAATGGCTAGTAATACCCTTAGCCATGTGGCTAGAGAGGGTTTATATCATTTGATACGGCCAAAACATGCCTCATCGAAATAACGGTTTTAGATCCTAGGTCTCTTTGGACCAAATCCGTTTCAGGACATTTGGAGTCGATTAAGCTATGTTCCGTGCGTCTGTCTTGCTGGCTGGTGCGCACTATAACTCTCGAAGGGAGTATGCGATCGAGTCCGAACTTGGTAAATCGTAATATTACTATCAAACTTAGATCGAGTTCGGAGATGGGCAATATCGGTCCATTCCTTCTGGTACCTTCCCCACAAAATGTCAATATTTTCAAAGAAAATAATTAACTGCACAGAAAGAGAAAGGACGATCCAATTTTGCTCCAACTTTACAAATCCTAATATTTGCATTAGTTCTAGGTCAGGTGCGAAAATGGACTGTGTCGGTTCACCCCATCAAGTGCCTCCCCCACAAAGGGTCAAAATTATGAATAATTATAACAACTATAAAATGTGATGTGAGGGTCCAATTACTTTCAAATTTCATAAATCACAATATTTCAATTAACTCAAGGTCTGGTATGAAGATGGAATACATCGATAACCTCCTTCTGGTACCTCCCCCACAACGGGTCAAAATTTTGAATATCCAAAAAGCTCTTAGAGGCGGAATTAAAATCCGATTCTCTTCATATTTCAAAATCTGATTATTTCTACTAACTCAAAATATGCTGTAAAGATGGTATATATCGGTCCACTCCTTCTGGTACCTTACCACAAGGGGTCAACATTTTAAGTATCCATGAAGCTTATCAAACGCTAAATTAACATCCGGCTCCATTCAGACTTGGTGCATCTCAGTATTTCCATCAACACAAGATATGTCATAAAGATGGTAAAGATACGACCATTACTTCTGCTACCACCCCCAAAAAAGGGTTAAAGTTTTAAATAACTAAAATTAATATAAAATCTGAAATAAGAATCCGATTCTCTTCGTATTTCATACATCCAATTATTTCTACTAATACAAGATCTGCTGTGAAGATGGAATATATCGATCCATTTCTTCTGGTACCTTCCCCACAAAGGGTCAAAGTTTGAATACCCATGAAGCTAAAAAAACGCGAAATTAACATCCGATTCCATTCAGATTTGGAACATTTCAATATTTCCATCAACACAAGATCTGTTGTGAAGATGGTAGGGATCGAACCATTTCCTCTGATACCTCCTCCACAAAGGGTCAATGTTTTAAAAAACTAAAAGGAATATAAAAACCAAAAACCAAAATAAGCATCCGATTTTCTTCGCATTTCATACATCCCATTATTTCTACTAACACAAGATCTGCTGTGAAGATTGGTAACTCCCCCACAAAGGTTCAAAATTTTGAATATCCATTTAAAACGGAAAATTAACATCGGATTCCATTCAGGCTTGGTACATCTCAATATATCCAACAACACAAGCTCTTTTATAAATATGGTGGAGATCGGGCAATTTCTTATGATACCTTCCCCACACATAGGTTTCAAGATTTTGAAAAACAAACGCGAAATAAGCATTCAACTCTCTTCAAAATTCAAACACACAAACATTTTGCTAACGCAAAATCTGTTGTGAAGCTAGAAGATATATATCATCTGTCAACCCCTTCTGGTACCTCACCAACAAAGGGTCACAATTTTTCTTGTAACCGATTTCGGGTTAGTTGTGCACCAAATGGCCACTATAAGTCCAAATGACCTGAATTTTGGTACATCTGACCGAATTCAGTCTAGAAGCAAGTATATCGAATTTGGAGAAAATCGGATCAGATATAGCTATAGCTCCCAAATATCTCTTTCATCCGATTTGGGGTTTTAAGTCCCTCACATGCGTAATATGCACTCCACAACAATGATATTTTGTACCAAATTTCGGATACATCCCAGAAATACCTCTGTCAAACTTTATCAAGGTCGGATCAGATTTGGATATAGCTCCCTTATATATCTTCAACCGATTTCGGGTTAATTGTGTGCCAAATGGCCCGAATTTTGGCACATCCGACCGAATTCAGTCTAGAAGCAAATATATCGAATTCGGAGAAAATCGGATTACATGCGTAATATGCACTCCACAACAATGATATTATGTACCAAATTTCAGATCTATCCCAGAAATACCTCTGTCAAATTTTATCAAGTTCGGATGAGATTTGGATATGGCTCCCTTATATATCTTTAACCGATTTCGGGTTAGTTGTGCACCAAATAGCCAATATAAGTCCAAATGACCTGAATTTTGGCACATGCGATCGAATTCAGTCTAGAACTAAATAAATCATCAGAAAATCGGTTCAGATATAGCTGTAGCTCCCATATATATGTTTCATCCGATTTGGGGTTTTAAGTCCCTGATATTCGACAACAATGATATTTCGTACAAGATATCTTATAGAGCTCAGAAATACTTTTTCCAAATTTTATCGAGAACGACTAAGATTTGGATATACCTTCCATATATATCGTTAATCCGATTTCAGGTTTATTCTGCAAATAATGGCTAATATCAGCCAAAATGGAGTGAATTTGGGGACTTACGTTTCCATTTTGTGAAACTCGAGTCCGATATATATTTCTTTTAATATTATCCTATCATGCACTCTATAGCCGTGAAATTTCATGAAAATCGATTCAGAATTTGATATGCGTCCTATATATTAGTTCCCTCTGAAACCAAACTATAACTGCTGTAAAGCCAAATTTTGATAGTTGGTATGATCTACTTTAAATAAATTCTTTTTTTTTTATGGGAGCTCTATTAAATATGCATAGTGGTGTAGGGTATCACATAGTTGGCCCCGCTCGACTTTTGACTTTTCCTTACAGGTTTTAAATAATCAAACATTGGCTGACGGTATACATCTGTTGGCAAGACCGACTGATACTTTTCAACTTATTTTTTTAACATTTCAAAATTTTCCCTCCCCTTACCATACCAACCTCGTAGCGGTATGCAAACTCACCGAAATTAAATATTTGTTTACATGTCTATGAGAATGCATTAGCATGTTTCCGATTTAATCCCTCAACTACCATCTATAATTTATGATAACTTGACAGCTATGTTGATGGATACATTTTGGAGGAGATTAGGCGATGATTTTATTTTTGATACAGACAACGAGGTTGCATGCCGCTGCGTTGTTATCGTATAACATTTATCAGTCATAAATATATCAAAAGATATGAAATGCAAGAGAGTGTGGGAGATAACCCAACAACAGGTGTTGTTGTTATTATTGCCAAGAGTCGTCACCTTCGGGCGACTTTTTGGAGTTAAGAAAAAAATATATTTATAATTTGTGACTAAGCTTTATGATTACTTTTTTTCCACAGAGTGGAATTTTAGTTCAATTAACTAAACAAGGGCTGGGTGGATGGACGCAATCATTCGTTTTTTTTAATTGGTTGGTTGGTGGTGATTCTTTGCTTTTGACATTGATACAATATTTAGTTCGTTGTTGTGTCAGGCCCTGTTATCATTAAGGTTAAACAAACTGAATTGATTGCGAAAGCAAACTAAAACAAAAATACGAAGAAGAACGTCAAGCACCAATAAAAAATTATGTGTTGTAAAGTTACAAATTTATTTGCATTCAAACATTGCCCTGCGGCCTGTTGTTTCTTTTTCTTCTGCATTTTCAACTTCTTTTCTGTTTTTTTGCAGTGGCACTGTTTATTATTGTCGCTCCTTTTGCTGCAATCAATTCATTTGTTAACATAAAGCAGATACATTCATGTTGCGCCGCTGCTGCTGCTGTCGCCAGTCGCCGCCATTCATGCGAATGCAAATATCTCAAGGGCACAGTGGTGAAATT